TCTTCAGCCTACAGGTGTCAGAAAAAAAACAACCTTCCATTAATATCACTATAAAGAGTGTGCACTCTGGAGACCTATTACAAATCATTTAGATCTCCTTTTTTCTAATAAACTCTCTGGTCAGTTACCCCAAAGCAATCATTAAATGCATGTACCATTTTGTGAGCAAAATAATGTAAAATAAGCCATTTAAGTGCAGTTACATCTCAGTAGTACATGACTTTCAGAGGAAGTGAGGGTTCCCTCTTGAGAGGGACAGAAAAGAGCAGCAATTTTAAAATTCGTTATGAATACCAGGGCCAAAATCAAGAGTCCATCTCCAAAGGTTACCTGAAATATGTTTCCCACTCTACGGAGTATTTTCCTTAATACACTATAATACAAATATATTCAAAGCAAGAGGCCATCTATTTTTTTATAAACATTTAAATTTGAATACCTTGAATACCTCAGTAAAAATAAGGAACAGTGTAAGAATTTGCACAACTACTTCAAATACTTTTTTCAAGGTAGGAACAAGGATGTGGAGAAGTGTTATGCCTTTTACCCAGTTACCAAGGTCACCAATCCCTTTGCAGAGAGCTACTCAGAGGACTATTCCTGTATTTCAGGCATGGTGATAATTCTGAAACCTAAATGTGATTTATAATAGCTAAAAAGGGGAAAGCTTTTCACAGAAGATCGAGAACAAGAGCACGTTATGTTGTTTGAACTGTGTCTCCTTCTCAGTCTTGTGTTCAATCTATTTTTTTCTTCCATTCAGCTAACAAGAAACAGATCATTTTTAATATATAAATACTCCTGGTTTTTTATTAGCATTAAGTCCTTTCAAAGTTACTAGTTCCTCATCTGTTAAATGGATATACATACTATTTATGCACGAAATACTGACACGAAAATGACTGTGGGACAAAATGTAAACTTTTTTCAAGTTACAGAAGTAACATGGTTTCCATGAGACAAGAATGATTAAAAGAAAAAAATCTCAGCACAAAGCCTGTTGTAAAACAAGTCTGACTAGTGAAGATAGCCCAAGACAAACAGTCTTATGTGAATCATTAATTCACAGAGAATTTTCTGTGAGGCTGTGTGGACAAAATTATCAAAATGGGCTTACACCAATCATTCCCTGGGAATGCATATTGTTCAGCTGGGATTGAGGTCCTGTATGTTCATATTTCTGCTGACAGAAAGGGTCTGAATCAAAATGAGATGATTTTATTTATTGCTTACTTTAATTTAGGCACATAGGCATACAGGGGTTTTTTGAGATATAAAATAGTAAGATTTAAAGTCAAAGAGCTAAGTTTATAAAACACAGATTGCCCTGTTGGTAAAAGCTACCTCAAAGGTACATTCAAATATGATACCACAATATTAAGATCTGACTTAAATGATTACTAGCAGTATCTTTAATTTAACAGTTATGCTAAACTTGGATTGCCCAGACCTTGCACCTGACCCTACCTATGCTACAGATAAAAAAGCTTATGTAGATTTTGCATTTGAGGTGATTATTATGTTAAGTCTGGTAAATATTGTCATAATAAAAGGTGACTAAATAGCATCAGGAGATCCAGACTGGGAAAGATGATAAAATTAATTAATTAATTAAATTCCTGACTGTATGAAAGAATGACAGTATTTCAAGGTGGAGGATTTGATATAAGAAATGTCAACACTTTTAAGATGATACTGGTTATCCAGCAGTGAAAAAAAAAGTGTTGGCAAGGAATGAGGAATGAACAAATGCCAGAAACTCTTCCCTGGTTTTAGCCAAGGAACCATTTTAAAATTAAAACATTGTTTTAGCATTGTTAACATCGTTTTAACAAGTTGCACATTTATTTTCAAAATTCTCACCTTAACAGATGTTTCAGGAAGAGAATGTGGATTTCCCAGCTTAGTTGTAATATAAAGTGGAATTCAGGAGCACACTCAATAGTGGATTCTCCAAGGCGAAGGCTTCCTGACTACTTAAATGTCTGAGTAAAAGTGGCTTTAGGATAGGATCAAGTTCTTCTCCAATATTTTCCAGTAGCACTTCAAAATAACATAAGAATTAGTAGGACTTTCTTGGCTTTTATATTACTTATTGATTGTTCTTTACAAAACATATGAATAATGTGTATTTACAGTGTGCAAACAATAAAAATATTAACTAAGCAATATCTAGAGATAAGGAGAGTATTCAGGTGATTGAAAAATTAATCAAAGAAATGTACTTTTAATTTCTTTCTGTAATATGATATAAATTTGCAAGAAAGCAGCTAAAATGCTATCACTGTTACTGCTGCCAATGGCTTAGAACAGTAGTTTAGGGCTACCATTTCTAAAAAGCAAAATAACAGCAAACTAAATGCCACAGAAATCATTTTGGGTGACTAAGTCTGCTTCAGTTTTCACTGTAAGCATATGAGAATGTCAAAATCAAGAAGGAAATAATGGAAAATAAACAATCCATCTCTACTTGAAGTCCAGTTAGCCTTTGAAAAATAGGTTGAATGTGTTTCATTACTTTATTTCTCTTTGAGGTACTAAGAGTACTTGCAATAAAGACGCTACAGAGAACATGACAAGCAGTATTGGTCACAGCCTAGTAATCTGGTATTTGTACTCTTGAAAAGAAAAAACAACATTACTTTCTAGAAATAATATTATTCCAAACAAAACAAAGAAATGGCAATTCTCATAAAGCAATAAAAAGATATATATTAAACTGAGTATTATATTGTGCTAAGAAGTATCTTATAACCTGAGGTGAGGGCTTCAATTACTATAGTACTCTTTTCATTCAAAAGAAGGGGGAAAAAATCTGTTTTCCTTAACTATAACATTTGATACTCACCAGTTTCATTTTTTAGCTAATTGTGCCCCCTCCAGGTCCTTCTGTAATTTACACTTTGAGTCATTAACCCTCCAGGGTTGCCAAACTGAATCAGTTTTCCAGTGTTGTAATAAACTGAGGGTCACTGAGTTTGATTATAAGCAAACTATTGGCTTTTTCCATATCCTTTATTCATTTATTCTAAGGATCTATCATCAGAGGGCATTTTCTTGCATTGCTGAAGGGAAAAATACAAACTTTCAAAATTGAAATGTAAGCTCTTCAAATGTTTACCTCAAAGTACTTCTTAAGGCAATTTATTCCTTTTTGTCATTACAACAAAAGTGTGTCAGTGTGAAATCATAGTAACCACATATTCATGTGCCCATTCCCATAATCCTTGATGAATTTAAGAGGAGGTAGATGAATCCTTAAGTTCTTTGTTTACCAAAACCAATCTTCCTCCTTCTAAGACTGTACTTAGAATAAGAGTTACTTCCTAGAGAGTTTAGTCACATTTAATTTTATAACTTTCAAAATAATAATATCACTCTTAAGCTTTGAAACTTTGAACAGCTTTAATACAGTCATAGTGTAGCATTAGTGAGCATTTTCAAGTGAAAACAAATGGAATTTTCCACTAATGAAAATGGATATTGTGGAAGAAAGAGGGCACAGATTTAGGAGAGGAAGTTTTGGAAGAGAAATGCACCATGAGTGGCAGTAGCCTGAAATTATACACAGGATACTACAGAGGTTCCTTCTCCATTATGGATCAGAACCTGTACGTGGGAGTGACCTTTCACCACCTGAAGGAGGATGGCTTTCTTCTCCCTTGTAGAATGATTTAGGAAAACAGGTCGTCTGAAAGGGATCCTGTCCATCTTACCCACTATGGAAGAAAGCTTTCATGGGTAAAATGCATGGAGAGATTCAGGAAATACATTTGTAATCTACCAGGACAGCATGATATCAAAGCAGAAATGAAGAAAGTTAAAGTGGGGGCTTTGTAAAGTTACAAGTATTTTGAATAATTTGATACACACGGATAAGGGAAACTGTGGTAACACAGTAGTTCTAGAGAAGCAAACAGGGCATTTGAAACCTGAGTGTCTGTCACATGAGGCAGTAGCATCAGCAGTACTAGAAAGAAAATCTCACAGTAGGTAACAGTGTTCACCAGTGGATCAAAAGTGTACTGAAAGAATTGCTGGATTTCTAGGTGGTTCAGTCACTTATGAGGACCCAAAGGGAGACCCAAGGGATATATGGCCAGGTGATTTTAAGCATAGATGATACAAGGCAATGCAGCAATTGCAAACTGTAAACTGAACATATTAAACTTACGTGTTAAGCAGAGTCTAAACCAGACTATATTTATGTAGTTTTTCATAATAATTTTGCTTGTTCTTATTTTAAAACAGGAATTTAACATTTGAAAAGACCTCAGCTAAAACCTGCAGTATTTCTTTCCCCAATTACTTCAAAGTGTCAGTCACGTATTATTTTCAGCATATTCCACTTCAGACATACTGTGTAAGAGACACAAAATACTTAAGATTGAATAATTATAGTTCTCTAATAACAGCCAAATGCACACAGCTTTCATCTCTATAAAATCCTTCTTCATTGATGGCATTGCAGTCCCTATGTATGTTTGCAAATTATCCTTGGATTGCTCACTAATTCTGCTTTTTAGAAAATTTGTTGTTACAAAAAGCTTGAGTTGCATTCTGTATGGTTCCTATGGTCCTAATATCTAGCCTTAAACTCATAACTACAGGCATAATATGCATCATCAATTTGAGGTAGATTCTATCTCACCTTTCAAAATTAAGAGCTTTCATTATTTAATTTTAAAATGCTAATCATCCTTCCATTAGTTCAAAAAGAATTTTGATCAAAGCTTTATAAAAGTTAAATGGTAGGACGTACTGTAGAAGTGTTGAATTCATTAACACTTGTTGACTGTTTAGCCAGAGTGATTGAATTGTTAATACAGTAATTACTTTTAAAAAGTTACATATACAATCATAATCCCAGCATATATCCTCTAACTTCAATAAGCCATTTTGCTTCCTGAAGTACAGTCAATGCTAATTTTGAATGTCAGATGAACATACAGTGAGGTTCTTTAGCTAGGGCCTTATTTTTGTCTTACCTGTTTAATTTTGCACTTTGTCACCTATCCGGTTGCCAGAGCTGAAGTGTTATCCACGCATCTCTACTTCCAAATGTGAACCTGTAATATACAATTTTGGTTATGTGTGAAACCTACCATTCACTCTACAATAAAAGAGGTATTCAGTCACAGCGCTATCCAACGTCAGACTCCTCAAACAGTGAGGAGAATTTTCCTGTAAACAGTAGTGAAAATTAAAGATTTCTATTGGTAAGTTTGTGCAGTAGCATACTGTAGCATATGCAGTAGCATACTGTAAAATGATTCGTAAATGGTAGGTACATCTTATCATAGACTTGATGCCCATTAACCTAGTTATGGAAAACAATTATAAGAATACAGTATGCAAGAAATAGAATGAACAGATGTGAAGGACATGGGTAGCCATCACAAGAGGGGAAGCAGTTAAAGCAACACTGTTCCACAGTCAGTTCTGCCTCAGCTGTGCTAAGAACAGAAGCTACAAGTCAGTAGCAGTACATTGGCAAGCACGCTGGACAGAACTGAGAGGTTCTTTGTTCACTGTCATAACAAACACAAGTCTGAAAATCTTAACTGCTTCTGCATGGCCACAAAGCTTAGCATTTTAAAACTAAATAATGACAGGACTTGATTTTGAAATGTGAGAGAGAATCTTCCTCAAGCCTCCAGGTTGGTATCCAACAAAGCTGTTGATGCCATCCGTGTCTCAGTCATCAGTAGGTGTATTAAGGTAAGGCTAATTGCAGCTGAGCTGTGGGTATTTCTAGATGATAGAACATTAAGATGGTCAGTTCCCATGCTGTACACTGTCAGACAAATCACTGATGTTTGCACTGATTGTGACATGGATATATACCAACACATTTCTGAAATCAGAGGTTATTGCAGGAAAGGCCTACCTCACTTTTTCCTGTTGATGCAGTTTACAAGTATATAGAATACAATGCAAGAAAGAGGAAAAAACTGGCAAGAGCATATGGTTGGGATCATCCTCTGTAAGAAAGGAGACTAGAAATTCTCTCCATTCTAGCTTTTAGCACCTCCCTTAAGCCTTACTCATACACATGGGTATTTTGTTGTTGTTTTGTTACTGTGCCCTAGTAAATGATGATTCAGCTAATCAGTGTACAAACCAACACTTCCAAAATGTCAGGGCTTTGCACACTTAATATGTTAGAAGCCAGAATGTTTAAATCTCATACGAGGTGGCAACATAAACTGGAAAACTATTTAAAGAGAAGTAATCAAGACATTATCTGTAGATACTTCATGGTAGCAGCTGATGTCAGCGTATTTCTTTAAAAACCTTTAGATTTGAAAGGAGAATTATTTCCATATCTACTGATTGCACATCAAGAATAGCATTAAGAATTCTATTCCTGAAGCATTTTAAGATGTCTTAACCTGAATCCAGGATGCAGCACGTTTGTTAAAACAAAACAAAACCAAAAAGCAAAAAAAAAATAAAAAATGGGGGAGTGGGGGGGGCAGGGGACAGGGGAAAGTATCATTTTAGGAATCCATAGGAGTTAGAAAGGAGGGAGTGAATTCACAGATAAAAAAACTTTACATTAAAAATTTAAAAGTATTATTAGTATTCCTTATAGATTTAAACATTACAGTAATTTAATAATGTTGGTCATTAAACTGGATATATAGTAGAAAACTGTCTATAAAAAAATTACTTATTGGGGGTTCGTTTTCTTGTTTGTTTTTACTTATGAGACAATGATGCCATTATCAATAGAAACATGTCAGAAGGTAGTCCAGCAGTATTCCAAGCTCTGATTCTCCCAGGTTATTTGTTCAGGAAAAACCATCAGAACAAGGAATGTCTTTTGTTTTACACAGCAATACTCACTCTCTATTTTGCATCTAAATAAGAAGAAAACAAATATTAAATGAAGTTCTGTCTATTCACAAAACTTTCAAACTAATTAAAATGTATTTTTCAACCCATTTCCCATAACAGTTGCTATATACAAGATCACAATCTTCAAATGAAAAGAAACTCGTTCTTCTGTATTAAATCTCTAAACATGCCTTTGTATATGATTTCCATATTTGAAATATAAGTTTATTTATTCAGAGCCTTGGCATGATTTTATTTATCCTTTCAGCAGGTGTCTTCTATGCTATGAAATCAGTGTAGGACAAATGCATATGTTCTACTGGAAAAAAATAGCTTCATTATTTAACCCTCCGGACACACATAATTTGCACTTGTCAGGACTTGACTAAATTTAACAATTTAACAAACATTTCAGTGCTCTTTATCATCTAACTCACTACAGTTGTGTAGACTATAGGTTTTCTATGATGCGTAATAATAATGAAGACACACACCTTGAAATATGTAAATCAAGAAGCATATTTCACTAGGAAGTATGCTTCCAAAGAAGGAAAATTTATGGAAATAGCATATTGATATGAAAGGCACAATCTTGTATGAAAGCTATGTACAAGGTCAGAGAAATATGCTGTAGTATTCTAAAATAAAATTTAGCTGTCAAAGCCTTACAGCAAAAAAAAAAAAAAAAACTGAGACAAAAATGCAACATTAAAGGAAACATCAAAGGTCTAGAGACATCGACAGAGGGGGTGAATGAAGGATTCATCAGTTTGCATAAACAAAGTTGATGTTCCAAAAGCCATTGTAACTTTCTTCTCTTAGGAAAACTGCAGGGGAAAAGAAAAATATAGCAGCAGATGAAACGAAGAACTGCACGGAAGTGTTTATGCTATCCAACAATTTCTGGTGGAGATATCTACGTAGTATGTGCATGCCCAATCACGAGAGTAAGGAAAAGCAACCAGGAATCCATACCTACTGTTGCACGGAGAAAGAAACTACACAGTCAGAGAGAATGAAAGTGCACTAAACTTTTCAGGTGAAACCACTATGCATCCATTTTTTGTGAAGAGTCATGTGGATGTCTCTGCCCTTTGTGAATATCATTTGCATCTGTAGCTACGCTTGGCCTGAATACAGTTCAGCTCCCCTTAAGATGTTTCACCAGAAGTATTCCTGCCTACCCAGGCACAATGTTATACGCAATTCAGGCTGTGACCATAAAAGAGAACACTGAAAATTTTTTACTTTGGAATTCTATTTGGAACTGCAGACTATTTATCTGCCCTATAAATAATCTTGCCATAAACTCTCAGTCTGTAAAGTTTCAAAATAATAACATCCCAACATGGATATTTTTAAGAAAATAATTGTTTGAAAGAAGAGTACAAAATAAAGAAAAATGGCCAAAGTAAATACACTGAAGGAAAAGGGGAAATAAGGATAATATCTAAATTCTATGTTCAAATGACAGACATTAACTTTTTTTCTCTCTTAATTTCTAGCAATTTTTGATAACCTGTACCTGATTTTCAAAATAAATGGACATCAATTTCTTCAGCTGCACTCAGTGGCAGGTTTTGGTGTTCAAAAACACTCGAAGTCAGGGTAATTTTGGCATCCAAAATTTCCAACATATCAAACCATCTGCCATGTAAAAATCTTCTTGTGTTCTGAATTTCTGTTTATTTCACTGAGAGTTACAGGCACAAATCATAGAATCATAGAAAGGCTTGGGTTAGAAGGGACCTTAAAGATCACCTGGTTCCAATCCCTCTGCCATGGGCAGGGACACCTTCCACCAGACCAGGTTGCTCAGAGCCACATCCAGCCTGGCCTTGAACACTTACAGGGATGGGGCAATAACAGCATCTACTGTTATTGAGCTTCTGCTGTTATTGAACTACTGTTGCTTTAAGGAAGAAAAGTTCCACTTATGAATTCTATGCAAGCATAAGTTAAAAATATAAAATTTATATTAGAAGAAAAATTAATTAAATTTCAATTTTTTTTTAAAAAGAGGGACAAAATCACTGCACGTATCACTTGTCTGTAGCTGGATGTAAAAGCTCCTAGGTAAGGTTCAATTCCTGATGAAATAAGTGTATGTCCAGTCAAATTGATGTACTACCTTCCCAGCTCCAAAGCAGTCTCATGCCAGTGAATTTTCTCATCCCCAAGGCCACCAATCAATTGTTCTGTTCATTGTAGTTTTTTGCTGTATAAGTCAACCTCAGAATGGAAAAAAACTCTGATTATATACATGATCACTTTAGACACGTTTTACAAATAATAAAAGCATTCAAAGCTTATTTTCCTGTGTTTTTCTTAAGTAATTTCATCAAATAAAAAGAAAACACATTTTATTACAATGGAAACATTTAAAGAACAAAAACTATTATCAGGACCAGCACAGCAAAGTCTATTCAGTTACAGTGTCATCCAAATAAAGGAAGAAAACTGTACAATAATTAAAGGAAATAAAAACATGCAATTCAAAATAGCTCTGTATACAATACAGAAAATATTAACAGCCAAGGAAATTATCTACATGTTATAAGATAAACAAAAACACTTGGAAAAAAAAACCAAAAACATTGTCTCATAAAAGTAGTTACATTCTTTTCTGCAAAAAAAATCCTTGTGAACCCATAACTGGCATTTATGTCGTCAGTTTTTAAACAAGCCATCTTTCCAGTTAGGTTTATAATCTAACAAAAAAAAATATTTTAACAGGAATTTAATCCATCTCTGTTAGAATTCTTTACTCTCTGGTACAGACACATTTCAGACGTGGGATAGGAGGAAAATGATGACAACTTTTGCTGCGGTTACAATCCTCTCTTCTCGTAACCACAGCAGCCAATTTACACCACAGTAACAAACTGCCTGTGTAGTTTATCCCTCCCCTCTACTTCCAAACTATATCAGAATGCAGAAGAAACACACAAAGAGCTGACTAACTACAGACAAGGCTTAAGACTCCATTTCAAATTCCAGTTCTATTTATTTAAAGAAAGCTGATGTACTGCAAATCTTAAAAAAAAAAAAAAAAAAAAGAATAAAATCTTCTTCCAAATGTTGCAAATTTTTGCACACATAAGCAGCTAATTACCAGTCAGGAACAGGGCTTACCAAAAACAGTCTCAAAATTGCATTAGCACAGAAGGCATAAATAAACTTTAAAAACTTTTAATGTGCTAACTTGCAGGTTAATAGATGAATCCAAACATTTAGTAAAATCATTGAAAATTTATCTCCTCACAAGAAAGCAGATATGAGTGAGGATGTAGGAGAGGGATATCAGTTGGTAAATTAATAAGATATACATTTTCTATTACTCTAAAGCATTTATTTTTCATGCTTTGCCCACTTATAAGCTTAGGACCATTACACCAAAATAAAACGATGGTTATCTAAAAGTAGGACTTGTTCCACATATTGGCAGTTAAAAGGGAAAATACTATTTGACAGAGAAACAAATTTTAAATAACTTTTCTGGGTATCAGTAGAACAATAGTTCACCTTTTGTATCATATACCTGATTTCCAAGTCAGCCTTCTCTTTTCTTCTTGGATTCTCATGTCTGGTGGAGTACAGCAACTTATCTTGAACCTTCCTCAGGTCTGCTTCTTTCTTTCTCAGACCAATAGCAATCTTTAATTTTCCTTCATCTTGATTCAACTTCAGCTTTTTGGATGCAACATTTTTGTCACTCTATATAAAGTCAAAGAATAAATTAAACATCTGAAAGGTAGATCCTTCACTCCACGGTTATTATTTTAGAAAAAAAAAACACCAAAGAAAGATGAAGGGAAACCTCAGCAACTCAGTAGCTCATGCAATATTCCATTTCATAATTTGTTATCTGAAGACAATTGGGTTTTACCTTATCACTTGTTTCTGTGTTGATATTGACTGATTTATGCAGTCTTTACAATTTTTTACTGTAATAGCAAGTAATGATTCAAAGCAAAGAAGGGTTATGCTTCCACACTGTGTCCAGGTTGATCATAGTTTATAATCCATTATGGATTTGTGCCATAAGAAACACACAGATAATAATATATATAACGTAACACTTACAGACACTGTACACACACATTCAGCCGACTATGTACACAAAATAAAAGAAAAAATTAGCAGCTTTTTACATCCAAGGATCTATTTTCCACTTTTGAGGATTTCATGCTTTTGTACAGATATTTGTGTGAGGAGACTATTGGAAGTAACATGCAACTGAAAACAGATTGTTCATCTTTCCAAAAACAAGCATGAAAATAAGCTGGAATGTCCCTATGCCCAGTTGAAGCAGAATTTGACAAGTATTAGCCTCATCATTCATGAATCCCCTCTCATGTTGGTGTGAGTTGCAGATCTCCTTTAAAGTCCACCGTTTAAAATAATTTTCTAACAGTTGGTACTTGTAATGTTAACAGTTGTTCTCAAATTGAGAAGTCTAGCAAGTATGCATTTACTAATCTTTTAGCTGAGTAACAAAATGTCCTCTCAAACGAAGGCATTCACTGCCTGCCATGATTTAACTTTCAAATGGCACGCTGACCTTAGTCGCCCAGTGCTGATTTACTGCTGAGTGTGAGCTCCAGATGTTTCAAATTAGGAAACACCATAAAAAGTAAGCACACTTTTTCAGTGCATCAAATACAATGCATAACAAAAAGTACCTTTGGGCTCGATATGACTACCAGAAGCTTCCAAAGACATTTAAATCATGTCCCAATTTTGTGCAACACTCCGAAAAGAAATTAACTTCATTTGCTAACTGAACAGATTGTTGCTTCCATGCCTTCTTAGAAAAATTCAGAACTGAGAATCAGCCTCTGCACCTTAACATCAGGTATCTTTTATGAATTAGTCTTTGTTACTGCTTGTTTGCACAAGTACACCACTAGTAAGAAGTAATTTCATCTCTCTTTTGGTGTTAAATTACACTTATAGAGTGATCCCTTTAATCAAATGTATTTTAACTATTTTTTAATACATACTTATTTGTCATAAAACTCCATGGCTATGACCCATTTGAAAAAAAATCCACACCCACCCTCAACACCATTTCCCAAGTTCTAAGAGGCCCAGTGCTGTTAGAAACAACTGCATGGCAGACTCATGATTGCTCTGAGGCACTTGTTTCAATACAACACAAATTAAAAAAAAAAAAAATTACAAATTAATAGATACTAAAGTATCAAACAAAAAGACCAGTTTTTAAACTGTTAACTAAAAAAAAGATCCTACTAACCATATTGCTGAGTAAAACTGTCTTGTCTAGCTATTTAGAAAGTTAATGGACTTTCTAAAATATAAACAGAAGCAATAGTGACCAATAGCTGTAGTTATGGTCTAACTGATTACTCTGGCAATGTATGAGCCCTACATATAATTATTTTTTTTTAAATTTCATGTGCAATGTCTTTTGTATTATGGGAAATCTTGTCCTGATAACTGTAAAATATTGTATCCTACCACTATCCAGTAAAAACATTGTTATTTTTCCAATAAATATAATGCATAAATAAAATACTATTGACAGTAAATCAGATTAAAATCTCTAACTGAAAATTGTCATCCTTATAACATTCTTAATCCTGCAGAATCACGAAGCCAAAATACAGTCTTTGAGTGAACAAATTCTGTCTGTAACACTCCCTGCAAATTCAGCAAATGTACTGAGACTCAGCAGTGATGAAAAAAAGTAATTTTAATTAAAAACTGTTTATGTCTGGCTACCAGCCATTCTAGTTAGCAATCCATGAAATGGTTGTTACAGGTATTCTCTTATCAGCAGAAATTCTCACAGTAGTGTAACCATTCTCTGCGTGAGCAAGGAAGCAGAAATTGAAAAACTGAACAGAAATTACCTTCTAATAGGATTGAGAGGTATCACTTAACTCCCAGTAGCACCTAAGCTGACTTAACCACTCAAAGTCACTCTCATCTTTGACTTTTTTGCTTACTGGAGATGCAAGAACATTCCTAGCATGAACATCAAGCACAACAAGTGCTCCTGCAGTCACTCCATTCTGCTTAGACAGCTTTCCTCGCACCAAGGTGGCAACATCCTCAACCTATTATTCTGTTCCAGAAAATCCTCCAGTGCCTGCAAAAATTTTTAAAAGTTAAGAAGTTGAATGTCTGATCTAAGGCATGATTATTTTTCTTATACTTCTTTTTATATTACTTTTATTTCTCTGTATTAAAAAGTTCCATCTCAGTATAATAGTAGTACAATGTCCTTCATTCACCGGTAGCTCAGTAGGGTTTTGTGTTTGGGATGCTTTTTTCCTACTTTTCCAAAGCCATATGTAAAACATCAATGACACATATCTGCAAACAAAGCAACGTAGACTACTTTATTCCTGCAACACAGGAAATAGTCCTTATCTTTTTTCATCATTTCATATTAAGAAAAGGAAAATATCACATTGTGTTTCAAGGGTCTACTTATATGTGTGCAATATATTTGCAATATATGGTTAAGGGTCACTGTCACAGTAGAGAATCAGCTTTATGTCCCACAACAGTTAGAAACAATAACACACCTACAATTCAAAAAGTTAACAGGAAAATGCATTTTTCTATAATTTCTCAGTTTATTGACTTTTGGTTATAGTCTATGTTCAGTTAGCCTAGTTATTTCTTTTACACAATAATTAATAGTTCCTTTCATGCTAATAAGTTGCTGGTAAACAGGAAAGGCCCAATTAAGGAAAGCACTTGTATCAGGACAGTCCTTAAACGTGATGAAGTACCCTACTGAATTGAAATCAAAAAGTGTGAATGAACCTTGGTAATACATTCACACCAAAGCACGTTTCTGTGGAGAAATAGCTTCCATTTGAATGGAGAAAAACTTATCTAGACCTGCTTTAGATTTTTCTCCCTGCTAGCCTGCTGTTCCTCTCCAAACACAGTGGCACTGGTAACTCTTAATAGATTATTAAATGCTTTTGAGATCTCTTATCTCAACTAGTTACTTTTCAAATATTAAATTTGAATAATCATCTGCTTAGTAGGAATTCTTTTTATTTAGGAGAATAAAGCAGTAAACAGAGAGTTCAAAAGCAGCAAAATGAAACTTGCACCTTTGATTTATGTACAACAGCTATTTGTTGGAAGCAATTAACTGAGAAATGGTTGAAAGGCAGCATGTGTGTGTATGCATGTGAATGTATATGTGAACATATTAACAAGTGGTTTAACAGAAAATACTGAAGTTCTTTAGGCAGGATGCAGTACTTTTGGCCTCTGACGTGATCACTGACTGTCTATCATGTGTCTTTGATTTACAACATAGGAATGGAAAAGAGAAAGAACATCAAAGGCTGGAAGACAGAGTTCTTCTCCCTGCCAGATTTGTGACAGATTGTCAGGAGATTCAAGCACCTCTCCACTGCTTCACTACATACAAGCTGCTTTGCACTGCAGAATGAAGATTCTCTGCCTGAAGCCAGATGAGCAGTATTCCCATTACAACAGAATTTGAGCTACAGGAAGGACAGGTTTTCCTACCTGCTCATGTACAGAAAAGGCTTGATACAGACCAGCACAAGAGCTTTTATCTAGACTCAGAATTCTCTAACAAACATTCCCAAAAGCAAATTAATTTAACCCTTGCTAACTTCCTCTTTTAGTCACTAACTACAGGCTTGTTAAGCTGAGTATGGCTTTGATTTTTTTTCAAAAATCTAAAATCTGTAAGATTAAAATTTCTGTCTCCCTTCCTGAAGGCCTTTCACCGGTTGAGGATAAATAGTACAGTAAGCACAAGCCTTATTTCTTTTCCCAGGAAATGGAGGGTTTCATTTATTACTGAAAAAAGAAAATAATTTCAAATCTTTAGACATGTTGCAAGGTTTACTCCTTGTATTAGCAGATATTGTCCTCTTCTTCCTTTAATTCCCTCTTCCCAGACACTTGGAAGCTTTTTTTCCTTGCATGTCAGAATGCAGTTGCTCAAAAAAGCCACTATTAACAGGAGTCATTGCTTCAATTTGAGAATAAACATAAAATGTTACACAACCTTAAATATTGCTCCATATATGGATTAAAGATTAGAATAGATTTAACTTTGTGTTTGTGGTATAGCTCAGCTGTATATGAACACGGAGAATCCAAAAATACAATACTGTAGAAGTTCTCTCGACTGATATAACAACTATTCACTCAAAAAAGTTATTCTCAAAGCTCTGATTTACTACTACATTGTATCAATTTGACATAAATTTAAATTGAAAATATTTTTACCCTTGACCATTTCTAATAGCCATCTGTACTTGTGTTGTCCAGAAAGTTTGGGATAGACAAAAAAAATATTTGTCCAGGCCACTCTCTTACACTACCAACACATGCAGTTTTTGAATAAGCATCAAGTGCATCCCCAGTGATCTAGACAGAAAAAAGAACACTATAACTACATGTGAAAACAGGCAATATTCAGCTTTAGAGTTAATCTAGATTAGATTGCTGAGAATAAAAAATAAATTTGTGTCTAGATTCAGCCTCAAGTTCAACTCTATAATAGCAACATCGCAAGGAATGTGTCAACAAAGCCCAAAATGACTTAACATGAACACAGTGATCACACCAAATTTCTGAGAACTGATTTCACAACACATTCTACAATGATTTTGGCCATCAGGTACTTTGAATTGTCTAGTTCCATCCACAATTAAAATCGAAAACAAGTACAAATACAATTTAGTTAGACCGAAAGGTTTTTTTGTCTATTCCCCTATTTTCCCAAAGTGAAACCTTTTTTCATTTATTCATTCCAGAAAAATCCCAGAGCTTTTAAGTTTGCACATCATCTTATTTAAACTTATACCTAACTTCGAGTGTATTTTCTAATAACAGCATGATTAATCTGGTTCTAGCACCATTCAAGAACAATCTCAATCGAATCAAAATTTGCACATGAAAAAGTAGCAACAAATGACACTAGCACTTAAAAAATTACATAACTTTTAAAGACTGAATTAATTTTTTAAATGTTCATGATGGATACAAAGAATAAAAAGCGATTCCAGTATATGTTAATATTTACTGAAGAAATCCACACTGAATGACATTAGCCTAGAAATTAAGAGATTAGGACTTGTTACCTTGCAAACAGATATCAACATCACCGTCTCAAATTCAACCAGCCAGCTTGACCTCTACCTTCAGATGTTGAAATGTCCTTATAAGTTCCACAGTCTCCCCTTCGCTGCTTTTAAGATACGTAATATCTAATACATCATTAAATTCTACTCTTGCAATTCTTCAAAACACTTGTTCAAGGGAGAAAAAAAACTAGTATTAAACAGCTTCAGACAATTTTTTTCTTGCCAATACTACCAAAGAATATCTAATTTAAAAAGAAATTCAGAACAATTTACTTGAAAGATCATTTTAAGTTAGATAAAGTTTATCCCTAACAATAATTCTTGTGTACTACTCCCTACAAGATACTTACCACTGTATTTATCAAAGATCTCTTTAAAGATGTAAAATTTTATTTATAATCTCTGTAACATATAAACTAGTGAGGATACACATGAATTCTTTCTTTAGCTGGTAATCCAACTACAGGATATAAAATGCTTTTATTTATACCTTCCCAGCAAGCTATAGCAAACATTAAGGAATTTGAGTAAAGCAACCAAGCACAACCTTAACACAATACATTGTAAGGAAACAAAAAAGTCACCTTTAAGAATTTGTTCCTCACAAGATCTCATCCCGTTCATTGCACTGTGTGAATATTTCTCTGTGACTGAGCTAGCATTTTGCTTTTCATTTTTGTTCTTATTTTTGCACTGCCTTCACTGCACACTATCAAGGCTGTGTATTGGGACTCAAACCCCAGTTCCTCTGCTTATAGCAAAGGTTATATTATTTAACAGGATCATTTCAGCAGGAATCCTCATAGAGTTAATTCCACACAGTATAAGAAGGACTTATATTAAGTTATATTATTTGCAGTTTAATCCTGAATGAGGTTGGGGAGTAGAAGTCCCAGCAAGAGTTAAAACACAGCAAAAAACTTCTGAATTGTTTAATTAGGACTGCCCCTAAAAGGAAGGTAGGTAGGCAGGTTTGTATGAAATTTTTCAAAACATGAACTATTATTTCTGAAAGTAATTTCAAAACAAGGTTAATTCATCAAACAGCACAGCTCCCATCATTCTGTTGGAGCAACATCAATTTTCACTAGCTATTCAGCCAGGTTATTCAATTAAGCAACATAAACAATTAAAACATTTTGATAGATTTTTAAAAGAGTACTTTTATGACAACAATGTAGTCAGACATTTTAACTGGTAATCATCTATCAATTCAATGCAAAAATTATCCTTTCCTACATATATAATATATATAGGAGATATAAGTATTAAGGTGGCAAAGTTGTACATAGGCAACGCTGACATTTCAGTACTAACACTAACTAGTAATGTGATCTAAATAAAGGTATTCTTAGGATCAGAGAATACCTTTAAATACTAAATACATTTAAAGAATTTTGCCAGCAACACATAAAAAGTTCTACTTGTTTTGAGAAAATAAGAAATTGTATTTTTATTTCTTTTTACAACAGCACCTGAATAACACCTGTCAAGACACATTGTTGGATAAACACTGGGTTTCTTACATATATATGCACTGTACAGATGACAAAATATATATTAAGATGTATTGTGCTTTCCAAATTCTTTCTAGTGCTTTCCAAATTAACTTCTCAAACTAAATTAATGTAAATGCTTAGAAAATCTACTGCAGAAGACAAAAGTTATCTCAAATAATACAAAATTTCAAAATATCTAAAGGTTACCAAGCTAAGAACCTTTAAAGAAATACAGTTGTCTGAACATCAGGTTCTGGCATTTAATATGCCTTATGACCAATCATTAAATTTTTTAATCTTGCTCACCAAGTATGGGGTTTGGGGAGCAAACTCACATATTGAAAAGTAGGAAATTGTGCAGATTTAGAATGAGGAAATCAGACCAAACAAATGCTTCTACTCAGTTCCAGTATGGGCTTGCATTTGGCTGTGACTGAATTTATTCTAGTTCACTTCCATGCCAGTACACTAACTACGAACTGACTGAAACCCACCCATGTTGCAATACATAACGTTCTATAGTGACAAAGTCCTGGCAAGGGAAATGAGGAATGATTAATACCAATCCCCTGCTCTATTTCCCAAAGTCTAGAAACACAGGTTCTGCCATAGCATCTCCTCTACCACCTAAATCAGAATGCACTTCCCCAGAATTGGAACGGGACCAGAATGGCCATGGCTGAGGTGGAAACAGAGGTAACCAGAACTGTCAGTCAGCCCTGAGGTCCCCTCTGCTCTGCCTGGTCAGTCTGCACCTGTCAGCACACAGCTAGGGACACGTATCCAGGATCAAAACAAAAGGCACGGGTATATCCAATATAAGAAACTCCAAAGAGATTTGTGGGGAGAATTTCAGCCTAATCAATCTACTGAGGGCTCGCAAGAACTGCTGACTATTTCCCCTAGGAAGAGTTTTGTCAGAACCATTATGAATCTAGAATGACCCGCTCAGGGAAAGTCCCTGACAGGGTGTGCAGAACAACACAGTCTCTGATGTCACAAAGGTGTCGGGGCACCACAGTATAGGGAGACACAGGCCAGATCTCTGTGTAAAGCCCAGAGGTGCAAAAGGTACAAACTCCTCACAGGGTGCCAATGCAGATTGGCAGATGACTGCTTCTCATCTTCAGTTTGGAGATAACATTTTGAAATTATTTGCAATGTGCATTCAGTTTTGTTTTAATCCCCTGCTCACTTTGCATATATACTTCCAGCCTACTGAAAAAAGCCAGAACTGTGTGCTTATCTAATTGATCTTCATGGGGGTGCACCTCCCTAATACAATAATCATAGTGTTCCTTTGCACATGAAATACATTCACCTTCTGTCGCTTGCCTCTTGCATCATACCAACCCACAACAAACTGCATATACTTTTCATCTATACACAGACAACTCAGCTGTCAGCATACAAACATGGTTCCTAATTGGTTTTATAAAACAGTTTTTAATGCACAAACAACCATTTAACTATATGTTGTCAAGAAAAAGGCGTTTTTGTTGCCTTTCCTAGTATATTTATCCTCAGCAAATAGAATGATTGCAACTGGGAAAGCAAATCAGAGCTGTGTTGCCAGTTTTATAAATGGGATTCTTCCTGCTTGTTTTTACTTTCATATGAGAAAAAGCCAGGAAAAAAATAATTTATGCTTCAACATAGATCTCCTATTTACATTTTTGCTAAGGCAGGATGAGAAAAAAGGAATGGCATCATTCTCAGTCATTCAAAACATCAGTATAACTTATTTTGTCAGTCACTCTGCCAGTGACAATTAGGGAGAAATATGTATCAAGAAAAGTGTATAAATCAAGAGTACAGAAATAGTTTGAGTACCCAATTAAAAGATCATCAACAATCCAGTTTCTAAATATAATTGTTAATATATTGCAGATTGGAGCCTGGGATTTTTTTTCCTTGAATCTTTTTTTCTTGCATTTTTTTCCCTGCTTTCTTCCCCAGAAAGAGAAAAAAGCTTCTGAACCTGAGATTTTTTTTAAAAGTTATGGGAAGTGGAAATTAAAGCACTGAGTACTTTAATTCTCATTAACATGCATTGCTTAAATTTAAAATGAAGAAATAATGTGTAATTATTAAAATTTGCAATGAAAAGCTAAGCAAATAAAGCAATTTTATAATGCAGTGGCATATAAATGCAAAAAGTAAGCACAGGCAGACTCAAGTTAGCTTTATGCTTTAAGAAACACCGTTCACATAGTCTGGGGAAGAGCATCCTTTTAAGCCATGAAACTCAAACATTGCATTTGTGGAAAGAGAGTGCCACCTTCTGGAAAATGCTGCCTACTTGTTTAGCCAAAATCAAAGTAAGATTGTTCAAGTTTTATTTTGGCATTTACACTTTCCTGGACAAAAGACAACTCTTTTTTCTGCCGGTGACAAGCCGTATCATATTCAAGAAAATAATTTGTATTTGATTAGCACAGAATATCTGAATTAGGTCATTTTATCAAAACAGATAATTCAGTAAACAATATTCAGAAAAATTCAGCAAAATTCTGAATTTCCTGCCCTTTTCAATTTTTACTGAATTTCTTCTCCAAAATGAATACTATTGATTTCACATTTCTGTGGAATAAATTCCCGATTTTCTTCTAAATCAGAAGAAGGAAGAACAAAGGGGAGGGATGGGAAGCATAAAGCAGAAGGAGTAAAAGAGAGGGAAGGATTTCTCCTTGGAGAGAAAGGCGAGGAACAAGAATAAAAAATAAATTTAAAAAAAAAAAAAAGGGAAGGGAAAGAGAAAGAAGGGGAGAGCAGGAGAGACAAGAAGAAAAGAAGAAAAGAAGAAAAGAAGAAGAAAAGAGGAAAAGAAGAAAAGAAGAAGAAAAGAAGAAGAAAAGAAGAAAAGAAGAAAAAAGAAAAGAAGAAAAGAAGAAAAGAAGAAAAGAAGAAAAGAAGAAAAGAAGAAAAGAAAAAAGAAGAAAAGAAGAAAAGAAGAAAAGAAGAAAAGAAGAAAAGAAGAAAAGATGATGATGATAATGAGAATGATGAAGATGAGGATGATGAAGACGATGATGATGACGATGAAGATGATGGTGATGATGAAGATGATGGTGATGAAGATGATGGAGATGAAGATGATGAAGATGATGAAGATGATGATGAAGATGATGAAGACGATGAAGACGAAGAAGACGAAGAAGACGAAGAAGACGAAGAAGACGAAGAAGAC